GGAATTTTGATTTTTGGCCTCAAAACATGTTGCAAAATCTATTGACAAAGTAGTAACTCTCACTATGAAAGTTGTAAATCTTACTATGTATTTTGTAAAATTCAGCGTGGAATTGTATTGTTTCTTACATAAAAGTTGCCCAAACCCTCAAAATAGGTTGCAAAACCCATTGAACAAGTAGTAAATCTCACTATGAAAGTTGTAAATCCCAATGTGTTTGTAAAATTTGACGTGAAATTATATTTTTTTACAGAAAACTTGCCCAACCCTTCAAAACAGGTTACAAAACCCATTGACGAAGTGGTAACTCTCACTATAAAAGCTGTAAATTCTACTATGTGTTTTGTAAAATTCAAAATCAAAATTCCAGATTGGTATCTGATGCGTTCTTTGTCATTTTGTTTATTCGGATGCCTTATTTGTCATTTTGAAATTCAGAAGGTATTTTATTGTCATTTTTCCAAATTTGAGTATGAAATATCCTCTCCTTACAAACGAAGAACTGAACAAATTAAAGAAGACTAGAAACTATTGTTTCCATTACTCTATTTGAGATTAATCAATCCAACAAAAAAAGAGTGATAGCTATAGATTACCGACCTATGAAATTTTTGTAAAGTGCAGATTCATTCCATAGAAGATAACCTCAAAAATATTATCTTTTAAATTTTTAATTTATCCTGTTATTGTAAAAAAAAAAAGAAATTGAGTAAAAATACAAAAAAAAAAAAGAAGTTACGAAACTACCTGAAAACCCTATTGCCGTAAAATTTGTAATGCTAATAGTGATTGTTAAGCTTTAAAGGGGCAACAATAAGGTTGGGGTGACAAAGACAAGGATACTGATATAGTTATATGATTATTACATATATAAGGAAAAAAAATCATAATTAACATGTGCCGGGAAGAGTTGAAATGACGTCTACTGTGAAGAAAATGATTAAAAAAAAGTTCATTTGAGATGATTTAAACATGTATGAGAAAGCTGTTGGGAGTGCTAATGAGAAAAGTAAATAAGAGATCATAAAGTCCCCTAAAAGGTGGTAGAGAAAAACCATAGAAAATGTGTAATGGAGTCATTCTATAGGACCTTTTGTTGTTTTGATGCAAATAACCAATCAATTTCGAAAGGATGGAAGATTATGTAATGATGGATTTGTAAATTCTAATATAATATTTCCTCTGGTCTATATTATAAGCTTCAAATAACTGATTCACGAATACGAACAGTTAGTCAAAATTAGTTAAAAATAATAAACAGGTTAGGAATATACTTTTATTTTCAAATATGTCCTTATAATAAATGAAGAAAATGATAAAATAGAATGTGGGAGAATGTGACGAGAGAAATAATTAAGAACAACATTAAAAAAAAGTATTAAATGTTGACACAAGTCCAAATTAAAGCTTATAAAATGGACTACACTTCTTTCCAAATTTAAAACTTATATATAGGATCGAAGGGAGGAGTTGTAAATGGAGATGTTCAGTTAATAAAATTAACTAAGTTTAGATTCCAATACTTTTACTAATACATTATCTCGTTGTTGATGCATTCTCCAAAGATCGAGGCGCATGCGCAAGAACATGTGACCATGCACATGACACGAACGCTATGGTGGAGTCAGCGGTTAATTAAATATGTGTAAGTAGGGTGCAATGATCAAGGATCTTGCACAAAGAGACACTGCAATTTATAAGCTTTGAGGGAGGAAACAAAATCTCGAAAGACTAAGTTTCTCACTAATTTCAACTTAGGTGACCTTAAGATTCTCGATTGATTTATTTTGACATCTCTTTCCCAGAGGAGCTTCTAATACAAAGTTGTAGTGAATTGAAAATTCTATCCGTTACTGGTTGGTTGTCTTCTCAGCTCAAAATAAAGAAAATATTATACCAACAGTTCCTAACTTTTTTTTTTTGGCTAGAATTAAGCAAATCTCTATTCTGTTTTCATTTAATGAGATTTTTGTATATTTTCAAAACTAGCAAACAATGAATTTTAATAATAAAATGCAAAGGAAGGTTCATATAATTTCATTCTGGGAAAGCTGCCCAAAAAATTCATTTTGGGAAAACTTTTAAACAGACATCAGGTAAGAAATTTGACTACTCCTAAGTTTCATTTACATATCAATGTGCATTGCCATCTTGCGACAAGTGCAAAGGATAAGATTTATTGGTAACTAAAATTTATAATTAGGACTTCCATGTAATTTTCCAACTCATTTTATTTCAAAGAAAGTTTATATAAATTCTTGGAATAATTGAGGTAACCCTTAAATGAGTTCAAACAAAAACAAATATGCTTGATTCAATCTATTTAAAATTAATTCACCTAAGGCGTCTCCACCAATCAATATAAGAGAATATATAATGATTTTGAGAGTTTTAAAGAATGCGTTTCTTCATAAAAATATGGGGCAAAGTTCAATAATGCTTAGATGAAAAAAATAGCATACCAAGTCACCAACATGGGATAATGGGCCATACAAGCAATCAAATGACAAAGTAGGCTGGATCAGAAGGCTAAAATTTTAATTTTTAAAATAATAAATAGGCTAGATCACATATCATGTGCTACTATATGCAAAATTTGAATATGAAATCTCCTCTCCTTGTAAACTATATGCAAAATTAGAAAAATGAATACTTATAGATAAACGAAATGTAAACTTGTTGTAAAGTGACAATTCATTTTATAGAAGATAACTTCAAAAATTTTAATTTTTTAAATTTTAATTTATCAAGCTTTGGCCAAAAAAAATTAAAATGCAAAAAAAATATGAAAATACCTGAAAACCCTCCATTGAAATAGTCCCACCTCCTTAAGGAAGTACGTCCGTCTACTTTGTAGAATTATTTAAAGTATCGTGTATATATTATTTTATTAAAGTATTCCTTTTGGTCCATAAATAAAACACTACTAACTAATTCATACATATCAATAAAGATAGTTAAAAATATTAAATTTGTCATGAAATTGAAATAATTTCTAATATTATCCTTATTAACCACACTAAATTTTCGACATCATATTGATTTTTGCCTTATTTCACTATAGTTATTAAATATAGGCATTTATGGGGAAAAATATTTAATGGTCATTGAAATCATCAAAAAGGTCTTATAAAATGGATAAAAAATTGGATCTATAAGACTTCTTATAATATGGACTAGAGAGAGTATGTTTTTCCATTATTTTTTGACACTTTTATAAATTTTGTTAAAGAAAGTATGAATGATACATGGAAATAGTATTAAAATATGTAATGAATTTTCTGCTATAATAATCTCCATTTTTATATATCTTTCTCCATTTTGATTGCTTTTATCAGAGGGACCGAGTCCACTATAATAATCTCACTTTCACATCCTCTTTCACTCTTACAGACAGTCACTATGTTCTAAAAACAAATAATAATACGAAGGCTAAATTGGATATTTTTTAAGTCATATAGAAATAATTTCTCAAACTTAGAATTTTGGAATATGTACGGTGTCTTTGTGGTCCAGAAAAATGGAAAACGGACAACTACAACTACATACTGTCAGTCCCACTTTCCGAGTTCCATAGTTGATCACTGATTCCACACTACTAAAAGTGCAAGTTCATCGCTGGTATGAAGCGATGTCCTTCTCCTGATTCACACTCTCATTCTTCCAGATGTGTCTTTCCATATGTTTTTCCATACACAAGCATCTATCTGTGATATCTCTCAGTTCTCAAAGCATGGATAGCTTGTTAGTTGCTGATAATTGCTGCTGTCATTTGCAGACTACATTTTTGTTCTTATTTCTTTCACCTTGGCATCAATCTCCTAGGGGGAAAAAATTAGAACAATAAACATTGAATTTTGTTACTCCAATATTTGAACATAGCAGGGGCCAAAAAACCCTGATATCAGAGCAAGAAAGCTGAACCAAAATATTTGATCTTTCTTAATTTACTCTGATAGATTAAGAAAAAATCATTCTTTTCATCTTGATGGTGCCTCCATGAAAGATTAAGTAAGCAAGATGCTTCAATTTTTCAAAATGAGTTTTTGAGTTACTCATTTGATGATGATGGATGGCTCTCTTTTCAGGTCGCTATTGATATTTAATGAAAGAGGTAGCAATGACAGTTGCTGAATGTTTGGTGGATCCAATTTTGCAATATTTGGTGCATCCAACTTTGCAGCAGCTGAAATATTTGTTCCGTGTCGGCAAAATCAGCAGAAATGTTGAGATCGGAAAGGAGGAGCTGATACTCACACAAGGGAGGGTGCAGGAACGTGTTCAAGAGGCCATCAATAGGACTGAGAGAATTGATGGTCAGATTAACAAGTGGAAGAATGATGTGAAGAGCCTCATAGCAGAGTTGGAGAAATTGGAGGAAGAACTAAGGGCTAACCATGGCTGCCTTCGAAGGTGGTGTCCTACTTGGAAGAGATATTGTCTCTGCAAAAAGTTGGCTCAGACAACTCAGACGATGATTGATCTAAACAAAAAGAGTGATCGCTTGGATCCATTTTCCCATCCGTTACTATTCTGGGTATAGAGCATCACTCTTCTAAAGATTTTATGTTCTTCAGCTCTACACAAATGGCTTTTGGCCAGCTGTAGAAAGCATTGCAAGATGATGGTAGCTCCATGATTGGCCTTTGGGGCATGGGAGGGTCAGGGAAAACCACCCTGGTGAAAGAAGTGGGAAAGAAAGCCCAAGAGTCACAGCTCTTTAATCAAGTTGTGCTCACTACAATTTCTCAAAGCCCAGATATAATAAAATTCAAGGTGAAATTGCTGATAAGTTGGGGCTCAGATTGGAGGAAGAATCTGAAGTGGGAAGGGCACAAAGAATATCACTAAGATTACAAAGTGGAGAACGAATTTTGATAATATTGGATGATGTATGGGCTATGCTGAATCTTGAAGACATAGGGATTCCCATTAGGGGAAATCATCAAAGAAATTGCAAAGTTGTCCTGACCACACGTCGTCTAGATGTATGTACCTTGATGGAATGCCAAAAGCGGATTCAACTGGATTTGCTAAAAGAAGATGAAGCTTGGACTTTGTTTCAAACTCATGCTAATGTCAATGATGCTACCAAAGAAGATATGGTACGAAAAATTGCTATGGAATGTAAGGGCCTACCCATTGCAATTGTAGCTGTGGGTACTTGCTTGAAAGAAAAAGGAGTTGATAAGATGAGGGTGATGTTGTATCAATTGAGGAACGCGAAGCCAAACAATGTGGATAAAGGAGAGAGCGATTATTTTACTTGTCTTGAATTAAGTTATGATTATTTAGCAACCCCAGAAGCCAAGTTGTTGTTGTTAATGTGTGCTATGTTTCCTAAAGATCATAATATTGATGTTGAGGATCTTTTCAGATATGGAGTGGGGTTAGGCCTATGTAGACATGCAGACTCATTTAAAACAGCAAGGAGTCAAGTTAGGGCAACTATAAATTATCTCATTCGCTCCTCATTGTTGATGCATTCTTCAAAGTTTGACACAAATGCACAAGAATATGTGATAATGCATGATATGGTTTGTGATTTTGCTTTGTGGAAAGCATCTCAAGAAGATTGTACCATTATGGTAAATTGTACAAAAGAATTAAATGAATTGATCGTTGATGAAGTGGTAAAAGACTGCTATGCTTGATTACAACACTGAATTAGTCCAATTCCCTTCTCGATTGGATGCTCCAAAGCTTGAGTTTCTATTTTTAGATTCAAGAGAACCCTTGGATGTACCGCATTCATCATTTGAAGGCACTAAAGGACTTAACGTTTTGATCATCATATGGTTAAAATGGGATAGCATTGGACTGCAACCTCATTCAGTTGAACGCTTGTCTAATCTTCAAACTTTGTGATTGCAATGTTGGGATTTACGAGACATTTCTTTCACGGTAAGCCTTACACTTGAATTGTTAGATTTGTCAAGATGTGAAATAGATGAATGTTGTTATAGAGCAATAGGAAGGTGCTCATATTTAGAAGAGTTGTGTGTGCCCAGACATTATGGACACTCAAAAAATGAAAATTGCTATGAATACCTTGTGAGCCCTACTAGTTTGAAGAAATAGAGAAGGTATGAGTTAGAAATTGGGGAGCATTCCATGCGCGTCTTATTTCCAATAAAAGAAGGCAGAAGATCTTTACGCTTGGCTCATTTAAATATCTCTATATTAGGTGCAATAATCAAGGATCTTGCACGAAGAGCAACTATAATTGATTTTTATAATCTCGAGGGAGGCAACAATATCGTCCAAGCTGTAGGTGGGATGAATGAGTTAACTAAACTCTATCTTGAAAAGTGTTCAGAGATAGAATGCATTATTGACGAAACTACCACTACTACAAAAAAGAGTTTTCACGACGCTAATTTACGGTGGTTATTAGAAAAACGTTGTAAAAAATATGATGGTGGCATTTCTGTAATTATAGGTGGACTTTTAAAGGCGGTTATTTAAAAAATTGCCGTAAAAAATACTTTTAACGGCGGTTTTTTAAATAACCGCCGTAAAAAGTCTATCAGAATTTTAAAATCCATCGTGCGATAGTTTTCACTTTTTAGAGTCAAAGCTCATAATCCCCCATACCACATCCTCACTCGATTTTCTCCCTCCTCCTATATTTGTCAGCGTTTATCCATTGCTTCTATCATTTCCGCCATGTTCTTCCATCATTGTCGCTATTGCTGTTGCCGTCACCATCGCCTCATCCTCTTCATTCTTATTTGTGAGTTTTTCACCTCCATTCTTTCTGTGGATTTTGCAGTTTTTGTGGTTTGATATGATTATTTTCTTTGGTTAAAAATAAGATGCTTAATCTAAATTTAAAGAGATCTGATTTTTAGCAGATCTGAGTCTTTGATTTTATCTTTATTAAATCTTAGTTGCTTCGATCTGGTGGCTGAAGGTGAAGCTAAGTGACGCTATGACGGCAGGAAAAAATCTATATTTACTCCATCAGAATGCTTTTAACTGGCGAGAGATTTCCTTTGAGGCTTTGTTCTCCTAATCCCTCCTGATCAGTAGGATGAAACGTAGCTTAAAGGAATAAAAAATTTTCACGGTGGTTCTTAAACCACCGTGAAATCCTCTACATTTTACATCGATGGCATAGACGTCGGTCTCAAAACCGCCGTAAAAAGCTTATTTTAACCGCCGTTAAATGTATTTTTTGTAGTAGTGATACTCCTCATGAAGACTCAATTGTTCCTAGATTGGAAGAATTAGAGCTAACATATATGGATAATCTTAAACAACTATATCGTGGTCCTTCTCCTTTTAGCTTATTTGAAAAGCTAGAAAGTTTATTTTATTCAAATGCCCTCAGTTGCTTAACATATTCCTTGCTAATTGCAACTTAGGCAATCTTAAGTTTCTCAGCATTAGCGATTGTTTGATGTTGACAACTCTCTTCCCTGTCTCTGCTGCTTGCACTCTATTATCCTTAGAGGAAATCCGAATAAATGGTTGTAGTGAACTGAAGCATGTATTAGAAGGAGATGGTGGTGGTGATGAATGGGAGAATTCAAGATTCCCAAAATTGGAAATTTTGTCTGCTGAGAATTGCTGCAAATTAGAATCTGTTTGCCTAGACTTTTTAGCTCAGAGGTTTGTACAATTGTAGCATCTATCTATCATAAGTGCTCCTCAGATGAAATTTGTCTTTGGTGAAGATGGTGAAGAACAACCAATGCATGATCAAGATGAGACTCAGATAGTGTTTCCTCTTTTAAAATATCTCCAATTACAAGATCTTCCAAATCTTGTTCGAATTTGCTCAAAGAAACATCCAAGGTGCCCATCTATAAAGACAATAGAATGGAGGGATTGTCCAAATATGGTACGTATTTGTTCTCCCATGCTTTAATTTAATTCTCAAAAAATGTTAAAAAAATACTAAAGTTTTTAATATGAAAAACCCTAACGTACTTTTTTAGTAGAAGTTGGGCTTTATCTTGCCTGACATTCTTTGTTCTTATTTTTGTGCCACAATTCGTTGTCATACTTCACCACCACCTTGTTGCAAAATATTTCAACTAATGGATAACCCAGCAATTGCATTTTGTTATTTTGTATTTTGGTCATTCAATTTATTTATCATTTCTACAGCTCACAATAAATATTGACTCTCCCAGGCCCTCATCATAATTTTTCCTTGACTTTATTGTGAACTGCATTTTCTTGCATATGAATACGGCTGATTTTATTTGTTTAATTTACCAAAATATTGATAGACCTAGTCTATGCGAGAAATACATGTACATATAGCATTTTATTTAATCCTGATTTATCATTTTTTTCAGGAAATATGTTAATAGTTTTCATTTTCTTTTCTTCCCTTTTTCCCCTCTTTCACGAAGGAATTGCAGGGAGTTAAATGTCATCAATTGAGGAATGAAAAGTACAAGCCATTGGCAGCTGTGGAAAGGATTGAGCTTGATAATTGTAGAGTAGAATCCATTTCCCATTACCATACTGGAGTTGGAGAACCGATTCCAACATTTCAATACCTAATTAATCTTAAAAAATTGTGCAAGACTGAAATTTGTCTTTTCTGCTCATACCCATCAAAGTCTTCCAGAGTTAATGTCTATTACCATATCTTGTTGCGAGGAGTTGGAGGCAATTTTTTGGGGGAATGAAGAGACTCAAAAGAATTATTTATCCATCACTGAATCTTCTCTGCAGAAATTGAAGAAGTTGGAAATCTTTGACTGCAGCAAACTTGAATTCGTCTTATCTTTCACGATCAATGCTACTACTTCAATGTTGCCACAGCTAAGCACTCTAACCATATCAGATTGTTCTCAAATCGAAGAAATTTTCAAGTGCTCAAATATTCAAGATCATGACTTTGACAATGGAAGGGAGATTGTGTTCCCTAACATGGAAAATATGAAACTTAATTACTTGCCAAGACTTGTGAATGTCTGCCGGGGATTTAAGTTTCACACGAGGGAATTTTGCGGGGTTATTGTTCATGACTGCCCAGGACTTATGCCAATTATGACTGCAACTGTCGATTGGACTAAAGAGGTAAGTAATGTATTCTGCATTTGTGTCTGTCAATGCTTCCTTTTTCATACTGCAAATCTTGTTTATGTCTTACTTTACAATGTTTATTAAATATATGCTAGGTGCGTATTTAATGATTCTATTTTTTAAAAAAGGTCTTCAGTGCTTGTTTTAATGTTTGTTCATTTAAGTTAGTGAACTTCGGTTTAATACATTGATTCCTTTCACATGCATATGCATAGATATCTACATACAAAAGCTAGTTTGAAAACAAATGATTCTGCATTTAATACAATATTCCTCTGTAGTTCTTTACATGTGTCTACCTTCACGTATGTTTTATTTTCCTTTCCTGTTTGGTTTATTAACTGGTGACTATTTGGTGTTACCAATACAAATATGATATAAATATAGATATAAGAACATTACATATTTCCAGTTTAATTAACATGATTTAAGTATGAATAAATAAACAAAGTGACTAAGACATCTTATATTCCGGCATACAAATTAAATCTACCATCTTAGAGAACTGCATTTGTTTATTTGTATTCCTTCATTAAATAAAATGCCAAAAGATGATGCGATTTCTCTACAGTTTGATCGTTCATAATCATGTAATGTAACGAAACACGAAGAAGCATTTGATATAACAAAACAGGTACAGATGTATGTTAAATGTATTACAATCTCAAGTCTCTTATCTAGTATTTTGGTTAATTTGGTCTCTTTCTCTTCATGATATTTCCAAGGAACTTATAATATCTTTTCCCCCCCACATTTCACTTATCTATTATATGCAGAGACTTGTAAGGGAGTATGAGTTGAAATACAACCAATTAAATAATAACGAGGCTCTCAATAATCCTCCGCTTTCTATTCTATATGCTGGAGAGATTGATATTCAAAGTCCTAGCGTTGAACACAAGTGGCGAGTCATTGGTGATGATGATGAGCAAAAAGAAACCAATTATTCAGAAATGTTGAGATCAGAGCAACAAATGTTTGGAGGTCTTGTTCCCACACAAGTTTTGAGATTCCAGTACCTTCATTCCTTAGAAGTAACTCACAATAAAAAGTTGAAGTTCTTATTCTCAATGAGCACTATTGTCCATAACAGCCTTCCCAAATTGACTTTCCTAACCATATCTGATTGTGAAGAATTGGAGGAAATAGTTGCGGAAGATGAGGATCATCAGGTCATGTCCAATGTACAAGTTTTCTTTCCAGAACTAAGAGAGTTGAAGGTTGAGGGATGCAACAAGCTCAAAAGACTCTTCTCTACGGTGAGACAATTGTGCTTTCAAACTTGACGGAGATAGAGTTGACAAATTTCATAAATGTTTGTCAAGGGTTGCAGTTTCAGGTGCAGCTGAGCAGCGTCATCATACACAGCTGCCCAAAATTTCTTTATTCAAGTCTGGAATGGTCCCCTCAACAATTGGTAAGAGTATGGGTATGAATGAATATTCTACATCATGTTGATTAGTGCCTTCAAAATTAGATGAAATAATATTGGATTAGAATTATCTATATCATCCTGCTAGCTATATAAATTAAATTGGGAATTTATAATTTACAAAGAGATGGAAGGACACGAAGAAGAGAAGATGAAAAGTGAGAAATATACGAGTAACTTCTTTCATCTTTTTTTAGTATTTATTAAAATATTCCTTTTAAGTTTTTCATGTACAACCTTATCAAAATCTTGACAACGAAAGAATAATTGTGCAGGGTGATTCACAAACTAATTTTAATAGAAAGATATTTTATAGCAAACTAAATCAATTATAAGTTGGATTTTTGGGCTTGTAATCATGTATTGATTGATATACGGAAATTTGAAGTAAAGAGTTTGCTCGGTATATGCTTACAGTTTATCTAATTTTTTAATGAAAAAATCCCACAAAAAGAAGTTGGCGATTACTAAATCCAAAATCAGGATTATTTTTTATATTTAAATAGGTTTTGACTAAACTTGACTATAGCAAATAACAACATATTTTTGTAGGAATTTCTGATTTGGGATTCAGCAATTTTCATGTTCCTTTTGTGGAATTTTCCCATTTTTTATCTTTGTACATCCAAGGTTTTCTTAAAATAAATTTGATTAATGTGAATATATTTTGTTCTTTTTTAATTGAAATTGCTGCCTCAGTTTTCAACAGGAGAATCAAAATTTCAAACGTCATTCAAGTATAAATGAAGAAAAAGGGACGGTGATGATCTCAAGAGCAGAGCGGTTTATTTTGGAGGATTCAATTAACCTCACATCCGTATTGGGGGGGGGGTCCCGCTTTCATCATCTTCCAAAATCTTAATCACTTATTTATGAGTAAATGCACAAAATTGAAGTGTATGTTCCCTAGCACTGTGATCAGAAGTCTTCCACGTTTGCAGATATTAAGCATTGATGAATGTGAAGAGTTGGAGGAAATCATGTCATCAGAGCATCACTTCCCAAATGCATCCTCTAGTTCCTTGTGCTTCCCACTACTTGAACATCTTGGAGTCACTAAATGTAGAAAGTTGAAATGGGTCTTCCCCTTTCTGCCCTCTACTCATCATCTTCCACAGTTGCAATATCTGATTATTGAAGAGTGCTTTGAACTAAAGGGACTTTATAATTGCGAACTTGAAATCCATGAGGAAGGCTTCATCAACAACATATTTCCAATTCTGTCATTTTATACGGTTGAGGATTGCCCCAACTTCTGCAAAACCACACTTGCTGCTCTTCAAAGGTACGCACATTTGTATACTATCCACATCTGCCCATATTTGACTTTAGATCATTCTTTTTTTTTTTTGGTTGGAATTTCTTATTTTCTTTACTGGCGTGATATTCATTTTGAATTTATTTATCAGAAGAGTTATAGTAAAGGGCCATTTTTTTTTTTTTGGGGCCAAAGTAAAGGGCCAAATTCACAGTTTAATTATGTAGCAGAATGCCCTTAAATTTACCACTCACACAACGCATGTTTATTAGTCAGCTTGTACCATTCACATAAAACAAATTTACGGCCAATAAGAACAGATTTAACATTAGTGACTGCTCAAATAACACAAAAATACGGCTGGAATAATGAGAATTATGATCATTAGTGGCCCTTAGGCCTAATTCTTGCTTATGTGTATCCCGTCTCCTCCCTGATCCATTCTCTTCTCAAAAAGATGTAATATAAGTGATATATACGTTTTGGAAGAACTGCAGAATGAAACGTTTTTTTAACACATGCTAGCTGTATGTTTTCCTCATATCTATTCTGTACTCTGCTAAATGTCTATTATTGTAAATCCATTTTGAGATTCTCTTTTTTTCCCCCCCTCATATTTTTACAGTCTGCGAGCTGCGACAAACCCAAGACATACAGCAGATTTCATGATGATGAAGAAGGCATATAATTTATACAGTCTGCTTTATTTCAATAATGATGGCATGCAATCAACATTTCAGAAGGGATTCATTTGTCTAAATTTTATTTAGATGCACAAATAATACTTTCTAAAGCGTCAATTGACACCTCCGCCTATTTATGAATGAGTGCAATATATTTTATGGTGCAGCATGTGTGAATCTTTATAAATAGCTTTTTGCCTTTTTGCATAAATTTTCACGATGAAAAGAGTTTTACCTTTTTTTTTTGGGAAGAATTTCACAAAGAAAAAAGCTTGAAATTACTAAATCTGACATAAAATTTTTTTACAAAAATATATTGTTATTTGCAAGTCTAAGTGTTGTCAAAATTATTAAAGTGTAAAAATCAAACTTGATTTGGAATTTAATAACTTCAAATTTCTTTTTGTGGGATCCTTCCCTTTTTCCCTTAACAGAATTGAAAAATTAAACTGATGTAAAAAACGGTGAATGAAATAACACGTCATTTTCAAAGACTTTAATATTTTCGTTGGCACTTTCCTTGGCACTAACACTGTTAGTTACGTCTAACAGTTTAAAATTAAAAATTTCTCCTGCGATGCACGAACTAAAATATTTGATTAAAATTTAAATTCTAATCAATTTTATTATCTAAGTTAATTTAAGATTCACTTCTTATAGAAGTGTGATTTTTTTTTATTCATTCACATAAGATATCATTCAAATTCAAAATTAATTATTAATTTTTTTTCTTTGAGCCTTCAGTTGAAATCTCATTTAATAATGATACTCCTCATTTAATTCAATATACCCAAATCCCAATCAAGAATATAGTTGATTGATTATAAACATGATCAAATCATTTTGGAAAGATTTAAATTAATTTAAACACAACAAATTAACATCACGTCTTATATCCTTAGATTATTAAAAGTTAAGGTGTATATTTTTCTCTAAATTATTTTTTTAAAAATAGTTATTAAATATATCAAAATAATTTATTTATCAATAAAAAATATAACTGATATCATTCAACCTTCAAAGAAAATATTGTGAAGAAGAGTTGGCCAAAAAAAAATATTGAGTTAGAAAATCAACTAAAATTTTAAATGAAATTGAAAAAAATTGAAGATGAATATTAATTATTGTTATTATTATAGGGTTTTGAACAAGTTATGATTAGGTCATCAATAATCTCACACTCGTTGAACAAGAACAGGAACAAAATTTTTTTTTTTTGGGGGGGGGTTACGACACTACTACATCTTACAAGCTCAGGAAACCCTAGTAGTCTTAGTAGTGATTGTTTTTGTTTGTGAGAATTTGCCTATAACTCGATAAGCCTCGGTAGGGATTCTCCTCACATATTGAACTCCTTCAGTGAAAATCACACCTAAGTAGTCCAACCATGAGGAAATATAACTGCGGTGTTTCTCAATGGAGTGTTCTTCAAGTTCATTATAATCTTTTTTATATCCTCTTCCTTAAACTTCTAATGTCCATACCCTAAAATCCAAAAGTCAAGTCCATGTAAAAGCCATGGGTGGACCTCACTTTTATTCGCAGTCAACGTATTTGTGTTTTGTACCATCACATCCACCACGTTATCCTTTTGAAACTTGTACAGTCCATTTCTTGTCGAATAATAAATTTGATATGAAAATAACAAAATTGTAACATAAATTAACAAATTTGAAATGCAGAATAACAGCATCATTTTCTCAGCATCAACCCTTAACTATCTAGTGAAAGCACCTATTCATAATTCCGTTAGGGTTTCCATCCTTGTTTATCATTTAGAAGTACTGGCTGTTCTTTTTGAAATTTTCTATTTTCAAGGTTTGTTTAGGTCATTTTCTCCAAATTTAATGTTGTTATAATCATCAATTATGATAAAGTTCTTCATAACCGCGGTCCTGTTTTTTTGGATGTGAAATCAAATTTATTAAAGTGGAACCAAAATATTGACTTGGGATCCAAGTTCATCAACCAAATTTGTCCTATCTTTGACGTGCGCCCCAATACATTATTTTTATTTATTTTATTTTTTTGTAAAATATTTTTTTCTATTTATTTTATTTTAAAAGATACGGCGCCTATAATACTTGGGTCAAAATTTTTATATTTATTATGTTAAATTCTCTAATCATACAGGTGCATATATCCTAATAAAGATGTGGTTGTCCTTAGACTGAATAGGTTCGTACTAAAAGATATGAATAATCTTAAACTACAAAGAGTGGTCATGATGTATGGAAAAATTCAAGATTTCTCAAATTTGAAAGTTTTGCTAGTTGATGATTGCCGCCAATTAGAATCTGTATACATACCCAATCTTTTTAGCTTAAAGCTTTGTACAATTATTACAACGTCCGTCCATAAGAAATACTCCTCAGATGATATTTGTGTCTAGCGAAAATGCTAGTGAGGAACAACTAATGCATGATCAAGATGAGATTCGAATAGTGCTTCCTCTTTTAGAATGTCTCCAACTAGAAAACCTTTCAAATCTAGCTGAAACTTTCTCATAAAGTTATTATCTAGGGTGTCTATTCATAGAGATACTAAATATGAATACTTTTCTCAGCGAGGATTTGAATTTTAGTTCGTCAAGTTGTGACAAATTAGTTTATTTCACTAGACCTAATCTCCTGTTAATTTGTTATCTACATGCATAAACAACTAATGCTTTCTCAAATTTAACCACAAGGGCGTAGCATAATAGTTACCTCGCTTGGTCTTTTAACTAAATGATGGGGATTCGAATCCCACTCTTGGGCAAGAGAAGCATCCCGTAGCAAGCCATTTACTATTAAGTGGAGGCCTTGTGACGAGAGAATTAATCACTGTTATCCACGATGAATACTGGGGCATGTGCCAAACAAAAATACCTTCTCAAATTAACACCTGTTCAAGAGTTTGAGTCGATGCTTTGGGATTGGGTTTGGCAAAGTTGAAGGAGCAAAACCTAAGCTAGTCTAATTGTGGACCTCATTTTGGGCTGGAGGAAGGCCCGAAAGATAAAAAGTAAGAACCAGAAAGCAATGTCATTGGATGCTTGAGGTGCCCAAGTCCAAAGGCCCAATGGGTTCCGATTTCCCCAAGCTAGAGACGCAACACGCTGACAGCTTATAGTTGTTCGAGGAGTTGAAGTGCTGAACTCTTTCCTTTTCTTTTTTTATAAAAAAATTTAACCAAATCACGTTAATTATTAATTAAAAATTTAGTTAAAATTAGTTAGTTTTTGAATGAAATTAAAAAAATTTATTGTTAGTTTTTGAATGTGAAGTTCAGGTTGGTTGATCCAGGCTTTTAAACTAAAGCACTAACAAAACAACTGGAGGATCGTAACCTCTCTAATTAATTAATGACTCAGAGACCACTAAGCGGCTCTAAACCAGAGTAAGAAAGCGACTTTCATGTACCTTGTTACTATTTGTCAGTTCAGTGTTTCTACGATTATAATCTCTCTAATACTAATTTTTTGCATCAAATTACACTTTGCCATCACACAAAAAAGGCAAAAACATTACATCCTCATGTTTCGATAATTACAACTTTCTTAAAAAAAAAAAAAGATTGTTCCGTAAAGACAAAAATATGTGGTTGATTGAAAGAACGAGGCAAAAGAATCAAATCGGTCTACAAAAAATTGAAGAGTGACAAAGATCTATTTTATGGTTTAGAAATTTCCATTGAAAGTAGTTAAGAGATTTATACCAGAGTAAATCTAAAAGATTTTCAGAAAAATCATTCATCGTGATCAAATGATCATTACTGATAAGTATAAAGTTTCATGATGTAGAATAGAATAATCTTAAGTACCTAAACGGTCATTCATATAAAGATATCATGATCAGAATGAGTTATCAGGTCACTTGGCTACCCAGGCATGTTACTTTAAAATCATTATTAAAAATTTATTACACGATATTATACTAAGCAATATCATCATTAATTTCAAATTCAAATTTTAATAAAGACATCATTTTGTATAGTCTAAATATTCATTTAATAAAGGTAAACAAAATAGAAATATTTAATAAAAGATATATTAACAGCTACACTTAAAAATCATATTAATTCAAATGATAATATGATGTTTCCTTATCTTTTTTCACTTTTTGGTAAAAACTAAAAGCCTTTTTTAAACAAAATTAGAACACTTTCCTTAGTGTTTTACTAATCCAACTCTAATCAATCCTCGTTAGACAACACGAAATGACTATCTTATCTTCTCATTGGACCATCAAGCAAATCATTATGAAAACAGTAAATGTAATTTAGTCTCGTCATAATTCAGGAAATTGTCTACAAAATTGATGGTTTCAGCTCTAATTTATTTTAAATTTGAACTTAATCGGG